TCCAAAAAATTTTAGAGGAAGGAACACTCCCAAACTCATTGTACGAGGCCATCATCACCCTGATACCAAAACTAGACAAAGGTACTACAGAAAAAGAATTTTACAGACCAATATCACTGATGAATATAGGTGCAAAAGCCCTCAACAAATAATAGCAAACAGAATCCAACCACACATTAAAAGGATCATACATCATGATCAAGTGGGAGTTATCCCAGGGATGCAAGGATTCTTCAGCATACACAAATCAATCAATGTGATACACCATATTAACAAATTGAAGAATAAAAACCATATGACAATCTCAATAGACGCAGAAAAAGCTTTTGACAAAATTCAACACCCATTTATGATAAAAACTCTCCAGAAAGTGGGCACAGAGGGAACCTGCCTCAACATAATAAAGGCCATATACAACAAACCCACAGCAAACAGCATTCTCAATGGTGAAAAACTGAAAGCATTTCCTCTAGATCAGGAACAAGACAAGGATGTCCCCTCTCACCACTATTATTCAATATAGTTTTGGAAGTCCTAGCCACAGCAACCAGAGAAGGAAAAGAAATAAAAGGAATACAAATCAGAAAAGAAGAAGTAAAACTGTCACTCTTTGCAGATGACATGATACTATACATACAGAAATCTAAAGATGCTACCAGAAAACTACTAGAGCTAATCAATGAATTTGGTAAAGTTGCAGGAAACAAAATTAATGCACAGAAATATCTTGCATTCCTATAAACTAACAACAAAATATCAGAAAGATAAATTAAGGAAATAATCCCATTCACCATTGCAACAAAAAGAATAAGATACCTAGCGGGGCTTCCCTGGTGGCGCAGTGGTTGAGAGTCCGCCTGCTGATGCAGGGGAAACAGGTTTGTGCCCCGGTCTGGGAAGATCCCACATGCCGCGGAGCGGCTGGGCCCGTGAGCCATGGCCGCTGAGCCTGCGCGTCGGAGCCTGTGCTCCACAAAGGGAGAGGCCACAGCAGTGAGAGGCCCGCGTACCGCAAAAAAAAAAAAAGGAATAAGATACCTAGGAATAAACCTACCTAAGGAGGTAAAAACTTGTACTCAGAAAACACAGATGAAAGAAGTCAAAGATGATACAAACAGATAGAGAGATATACCATGTTCTTAGATAGGAAGAATCAATATTGTAAAAATGACTATACTACCCAAAGCAATCTACAGATTCAGTGCAATCCCTATCAAATTACCAATGGCATTTTTTTTACAGAACTAGAACTAAAAACTCTTAAAATATGTATGAAAACACAAAAGACCTCAAATAGCCAAAGCAATCTTCAGGAAAAAAAAAACTGGAGCTGCAGGAATCAGACTCCCTGACTTCAGACTATTTTACAAAGCTGCAGTAACCTAGGCAATATGGTACTGGCACAAAAACAGAAATATAGATCAATAGAACAGGATAGAGAGCCCAGAGAGAAACCCATGCACCTATGGTCAATTAATCTATGAGAAAGGAGGCAAGAATATACAATGGAGAAAAGACAGTCTCTTCAGTAACTGGTGCTAGGAAAAGTGAACAGCTACATGTAAAAGAATGAAATTAGAACACTCCCTAATACCATACACAAAAATAAACTCAAAATGGATTAGAGACCTAAATGTAAGACTGGACACTATAAAACTCTTAGAGGAAAACATAGGAAGAACACTCTGACATAAATCACACAAGATCTTTTCTGACCCACCTCCTAGAGTAATGGAAATACAAACAAAAGTAAACAAATGGGACCTAATGAAACTTAAAAGCTTTTGCACAGCAAAGGAAACTATAAACAAGATGAAAAGACAACCCTCAGAATGGGAGAAAATATTTGCAACCAAATCAATGGACAAAGGATTAATGTCCAAAATATATAAACAGTTCATATAGCTCAATATTAAAAAAACAAACAACCCAATCAAAAAATGGGCAGAAGACCTAAACAGACATTTCTCCAAAGAAGACATACAGATGGCCAAGAGGCACATGAAAAGCTGCTCAGTATCACTAATTATTCGAGAAATCCAAATCAAAACTCCAGTGAGGTATAACCTCACACTGGTTAGAATGGGCATCATCAGAAAATGTACAAACAATAAATGCTGGAGAGGGTGTGGAGAAAAGGGAACCCTCTTGCACTGTTGGTGGGAATGTAAATTGATACAGCCACTATGGAGAACAGTATAGAGATTCCTTAAAAAACTAAAAATAGAATTGCCATATAATGCAGCAATCCCACTACTGGGCATATACCCAGAGAAAACTATAATTCAAAAAGACACATGAACTCCCATGCTCACTGCAGCACTATTTACAATAGCCAGGTCATGGAAGCAACCTAAATGCCCATAGACAGGTGAATGGATAAAGAAGATATGGTACATGTATACAATGGAATATTACTCAGCCATTAAAAGGAATGAAATTGGGTCATTTGTAGAGACGTGGATGGACCTAGAGACTCATACAGAGTGAAGTAAGTCAGAAAGAGAAAAACAAATATCATATATTAACGCCTACATGTGGAATCTAGAAAAATGGTGCAGATGAACTGGTTTGCAAGACAGAAATAGAGACACAGATGTAGAGAACAAACATATGGATGCCAAGGGGGAAAGTATGGGGTGGGGTAAGGGGGATGAAATGGGAGATTGGGACTGACATGTATACACTAATATGTATAAAATAGATGACTAATAAGAACCTGCTGTATAAAAAAATTAATTAAATTTTAAAAAAAGGAATCCCCAATATCACATTTCCTATGAAGTCTATGAGTAGCCTTATTTCTACTTTAATAATAGTAATATCATCTATATTTTAGCAAGTTATTAATATTATTCTTTCACTTTATTCTCAACATGTTATAATCAAATTCATAATAGTCTTTAAATCAAGCCCTCATCCAGATCATCTTATTTCTATTAGTGGCCCCAAAGTCTCCTTTTCATTCAGGTTTGAAGCACAAGGCTCACCCTTAACTTACCCCACGCCATCTCCCACACTGCCGACAAATTAGTGTTTCAAAAGTAGAATTCCTCTTATGTCAATTCCATATAGAATAAAGAGGGGAAAAGCCAATACCTCTCCATTACATGTAAATTAAGTAGTAATCCTTTTCCTTGTGGTTTAATACCATCCAAGATGTGCATTAGACTTCATAAATACCTCTAATTTGCACAGTTCTGTGTTTTAGCTAGTATTATGAATTATGATTCTTATTAGCTAACATTTAATGACTATTGACTATATATTAGTCAGTGTCCTTAGGCTTCACATAAATTATCTTAGATAACCTCAGGATAACCCTATTAGGTAGATACTATTGTATCCTTATTCTTAAAAACAAGTCAACCGAAATCACCGAGTTGGGTAACAGGAGAATTCATTTCGGCAAAGTCTGTGATGTGTCTGAAGTAACAGAGACAGCCTGTTGAACAGCAGTGATTTAGCTCTGTGTCTTGTGACTCCAAGGCTAATGACACAATAATTTCTGCCCCCACGCATCTGTCCCTTAAGCCAAGTATAAATATTAATTCCAAATGGAATGGATGTTATTCTCTTGGGGAATGGAGGCTTGCTGATTTCTGCCCCCACGCATCTGTCCCTTAAGCCAAGTATAAATATTAATTCCAAATGGAATGGATGTTATTCTCTTGGGGAATGGTGAGGCTTGCTGGGAGAGGGCACAGAAATTATTTCCCTATTTTCTCTAAGTCATGACATAGTGAAACATTCCTATTTGTAGCTACTTTGCCTACTTCTTTGGTGACTGTATCTAGATTTTTCCGAGCAATTCTCATTTCAAACTTTCTCTCCCTTCTAATCAGAGGCATAGTTTAGTGTAAATGCACTAGAAAACATCATCAATAAAAACGTTAAAGCGACATGTTGACATAAAGTTGTAAAAATCATGATGAAAAGCTGCTAGAGGAAGCAAAGGAAACTGAAGTTCTCAGACAGGTTTGCCTTGTAATATGGGCTCTGCTACAAAGTAAAGGCCACTCTCTTTTGTCCCCTGATTTCAACCATATATTCTAAGTTGTGGTCTTATGCAAGGCCAGTGTACCCCATGAAGGTATACAACCAACAGATTAGGAGAAAATAGAGCCCAAAGCATTCTTTCAAATGTCCGGGCAGTTGAATTGAATGGGGCAAGTGAAGTATCCTACCTCCTTTTTCTATGTGAGCACATCTTGAATGCAAAGAACCAATGTTTGATAAACCTTATCATAATAAAGCTTTGTCCAGAGCAGCCACCTTTATTTCAGGAAACGAAAATCTAATTATGATGTTAAACCCAAACAAAAATGGAATTCTTTAACCTTTGTGCTCAATTAATCTACAACTGGTAAGAACACATAATAAAAAATCATTGACATTTCAATTTTCTCTGAGAAGAATACATTAAAATAAAATTTATGCACACAGAATGTAAGAATGTTGCAGATATTCCTCATTACTTGCTGTAGGAGATTCAGTATAACTTGGTTAATAAGTAAAAAGATGTTTCAAAATGCTCATACACTTTTAAATTTAAAAAGCCATCCAATCATGAATTCTTGTTACTGAAGGTCTGCTGATGTATTTGGCATGGAAAAATGAAGCAGAAAAATCCATGAGATGGATTGTTAATTAAATGCCAAATAACACACCAAGATGACTATTTTATGGTGACTTTAGAAAATTCCAAAGAGCAAAGGTTTGTCTCTTTATAATCAAGGGGTTGTAATACCAATGTGGAGTCTCTAGGTGCTGAAAATGTTCATGTTTTTTTACTTCTGCAATGTGTGCCATATGCAACATATCCCCAAAAGGAGACCATGTGAGTAAAATTATATGAACTTGAACAATAACTTTTTGTTTTGTGATAAATACACAATGCTAATTAAGAAATAAAATATGCAGCTTTTTAAGCCTTTTTATCTAAGCTGCTTTTAGTTTCTCCACACCAAGTCTGTACTAATGGGCTTTCCTTTCCGCAGGGAGATAAAGAAGCTGAATTAGGGCTTCCATTTTCCCCACTTTGTGATCGGAAGTCAACGATGGTGGCCCAGTCCCAAATAGGTAATACTGAGGATTGGTGGTTGTGGAGAGCGGGTGTGTGCCTGCCAGTTTTCAAATGGATACACGATGTTGTTCACCCATGAAAACCTCACTCCATATTCATGATGAACTTGATCTTTAGACTGATCTATATGGTGGTGAATGAAGAATTTTGAAACATTCTCACAAAATGAGCTCAATAAAGCAGTATTAGTAAATAATTGTTATTCTCTTTGTAATCCTTTTACAAAATAGAGGATTTTCTTCTTTTGCAAGAGACAGCATTTCTTGTTGTTTTGTTGCTGATTATTTTCTGTAATTTAATCCTTTGTATTTAGGACAATCCAATGAAAATATTAATATATCTGTTTTCACTGCTTGCATAATATTCTTAATATACTAGCTCATATTCTTTTGGGAAAAAAATTCTTACGATATGAATATGAAGGGAAGCCAACAACAGGAAATCTGTAAAATGATATTGCTCCCAACCATATTTATCCTTTTCATTTGTGCTTATATTGGAGACTTCAAGTCCAGCCCATGATTAAAACATATTATTGCTATGCTGCATGGTTCATATATTTGTAATCGTTATTCCCTGGGCCAGCATCTTCATTACTGAACTATATGATCAATAAATATAAGGATGACTGCCTTACCTCTCTAGTTGGTCTGGTACCACCTCCTACAAAGTGGTGGTCAGCTGTCAGAAAGCTTCTTGCTCTCACCTTTCCCCTTCCTACCCATGTTCCAACAGCTGTTTTCCTAGCTACCATAACACAGGTGACTCTCATCATTCAGAAGTTGTGAATATGTCAGGTTAAGGACCTCCTTGGGCAAGCTGAGAAGAATACAAGTGTCTGAGGCTTATTGCTATAATGTAAATTGCTGCCATGTTAGTAGAGGTGACTCATTTGATAGTCTCTAGATCCCAGGCATTTAAAACCATAGACAAAACGTGAAAGAACACCTTGGTGGTCAATTAACATTGACTCAACTTGAAGTCATCAATTCAAACACAAAACTATTGAAATTTTTGAATTAAAAGTGCATCTTAGGGCTTCCCTGGTGGCGCAGTGGTTGAGAGTCCGCCTGCCAATGCAGAGGACACGGGTTTGTGCCCCGGTCCGGGAAGATCCCACATGCCGCAGAGCGGCTGGGCCCGTGAGCCATGCCCGCTGAGCCTGCGCATCCGGAGCCTGTGCTCCGCAATGGGAGAGGCCACAACAGTGAGAGGCCAGCCTACCGCAAAAAAAAAAAAAATGCATCTTAATATATGCTACAGTGAATACAATTACTTGAAATGTGAATTACTTTATCCAAGTTTCTGATGGATAGGATACTTTTTAAATATAGATATTTCCCAGGACACTATCATTTAAAAAGCAACCCCGCAGTGTTCTCTTATATTCAGATGGTAGTCTATTGCTCCCAGTTGTGTTTAAGGCAACAAGTGCTTGATTTCCAGCACCACACCTCTCCTGGGACCTCAGGTGTTGAATGTACACAGAGCTTGTCTCCTCCTCCACCTAAACATAGGTGGTAAATGCTCCCTAAAGGACCGTGCCCCATTCTCTGTGTGTGTCATTTTCTAGTTTGATGAGTACTTTCAATGTAAAATTCTTTATTCAATCCTGTCATCTCAAAGTGGCGGGATTAATGCTGTTCTCTGTTCTGATTTAACAGAATACGCCCACATGCTGCAAACTTAAAGCTTTACATCCTGGGAATAATAAACAGCAATTTGAAATATTAACACACTGGCAGAAAGCTCTGACTGATACAGTGTGAGAAGAAAAAGTGGTTGCCTTCCTGTGGCTTGAGAAAAAAACTTCAATTATTTAGTTTCTTTGGAGCTTACATATTATTTCTTGTTAGTCAATAATAAAATTCAACGAACAAGTGAAGACCTTTCAGAAAGAAGAGTGATCCCTCTCATTAACAGAGGAAAATAGATTGACTCTGGTTAGATCTGAAATTGTTGTTAACAATAAGATGAGGCTGAATATTAAGTAGGAAACCCAATACACTTGAGTTAGCAAGCTTAAATTGTATCACTTCCACTGCTTGAGAGATGATTTTGTAGAACAGTTAAACTCTCTCTAAAGATTGTGTTATTGGATTAAAAATAATTGCAAGGGGTAAGCTGAACCAATGTTGTAGTTGAAACTTGTTATCAGGGGCATCAGAATCTCTGCATTATTACTAATGTTAGAATTCAGGAAATTGTAACACTTGAATATATTTATTTATGTTTTTGCTTTTGTAGGTTTCATTGATTTCATAGTAGAGCCAACATTTTCTCTTCTGACAGACTCAACAGAGAAAATTATTATTCCTCTTATAGAGGAAGACTCAAAAACCAAAACTCCTTCCTATGGAGCAAGCAGGTTTGATGTTTTCTTTTTTGCATCTTTTCCTTTTTACTTATGATTATCTTTATTATTCCTTACATTAGGCAGGAAATTCTTAGAAGAATTATTAGGTAGTATTGCCACCTAATGGCTCTGCAATATATTGCATCTGCCTTTGAAATTAGGAATTTGATGTCCACTACAAAAAATATCAAAGTACTAAGGAGTATAACAGAATTGTATTCAATACTCAGGAGAATAAATATTATTTTAATTTTCATTAAAATGTATGAATTATGTCCTGGATATAGTAATATGTCTGGTAGTGGTGGGCAGTTGGGAGACGGGCATTGTGTTGGCTTGCTAACAAATCAATCACAGCCCACTTTTATGTCTAGAAAGATGCCTACATCAAAGTTAGCCTTTTAGATGACATGAATACAGTGGGTCTGTATAACATGTAACTTAAAATATTTCAATCTAGACTTTTTTCAATGATAAATGTGTTAAGGGATGTTATTTAAAACTTCCAGTTGCAGAAAAATTATGCTAAATTCTTGTCCATCTGAACACATAGTTTTTCCAAATAACATACCAACATTTCCTAAATGTTGCCCTAATGAGGAAACTGAGGGAATGTTCTACTTGAGAAAGATCCACGTTATCCTAGAGATTAAATGGTGACGGAAGGGCCAGGACCATTACCCCACTTTTAGCTCCAGAACGGTGATGCTGCTGTGCTGCTCACCAGTGGACTCACCACTAAGTCAGCTCATCTCAAGGTTCTGCTGCTCTAATTAGGCCTCACCCACCCTCACCCCATAATACATGTGGGCCCTGACCTGCTGCTCTGGGAATCCCAACAGAGCCTGGCCCTCTCCATGAGGCGAGGAAGGTAGGAGGTGAGCAGCTCTGACAGGTGCTCAAAACTGGGCCTGAGCAGCTGCCTTCCTGCTTCTATAGCTGGTTTTGTAAAGTGTTTCAGGCTTTGCTTCCTCATCCTATATCCTGCTCTTGGTATTTCCTGTTTTCTTTGGTGGTTACTATTAGCTCAAGCACCTTTATGTTATCACATCTTGCTCATTCCTCTAGACGATCAAATATGAAAGGCACCATGAATGATGGAACCTATTCCCCAGACTACTCCCTTGCAAGCGTGGACCTGAAGAGCTTCAAAAACAACCTGGCGGACGTCATCCAGCAGAACAAAGAGAGGTGGAAAGAGTTAGCTGCTCAAGGTACGGTTGTTTATGAAGGCTTACTGCCATCTCTCTCTGTCCTAACTCCTCCTCTGAGATGTTGGATTTTTTCCCCCTAGATTTCTTCTTTTATAAAATATGCAAGACCTTGGAGGTGTTTAGAATTTGGCTACCCTTTGACTACTCATAAGAAAATTGGTTTGTCTGTTAAATAAAAAGATATTCTGCTCTGTTTGTGCCATGTGGGCTACAGAAGTATTGACATGGGTGGCAGTGAAGTGGATGTGAAGGATGGGACAATAAAAGAGCGACAAGACTTTATGTGGCACAGTAATGTCCTGTCCATTTCTAGAGGTGCTTTTGATCCTGTGTTTTAGGCTTTCCAAGTAGTTTTGTGTTGCATTAGGAATGCAACACTTAGTGGAGATTTGAGTATATGTTTTTTTCAACTTTGCTAAGTTACTTCTTTGGCTGACAGGTTCACGCATGAGTTGGGAGAATCGTTTGTAATTGGCTACCAAAGAAAACAAATGGGAGGCTAGCTCTATATTTCTGACATATTTTTTTATTCAGATTAATTAGTCTATTTGGTTTCCAAGGCATGTGAGTTAGTATCAGTCATTATCCTTCATGCAGGAAATTAGCTTTCAAATTCCACATCTGGCCCGTCTCTTTTCATGCTGCATCCCATAGACCTGTCTGTCTCATGCTTTATACTCCCTGCACAGTGGCATTCTGGCAGGTTCTTATAATACCCTAGGGCCTTGCAATGATTGTTTCTTCAGCCAGGAATTCTCCTCTTGGAGCTTTTTGCAAGGCTGATTCCTTCTTGGCTGGCTGGTTCATTCCTTGGCTGGAGTGTTCCTCCCTCTGCAATCTGTATTTTATTTCTAATTTGAAAAACACAGTACTTAATAACTTTTTTAATTCTCACATGGATCTTACTGTTATCATTCCCATTTTAAAGATAAGGAAACTGAGGCAGAGGACAGTCATGTGACTGGCCTCAAATCCCACAACTAGTAAGTAAAGGAGCTGAAATTCATTCTTTCTCTACAAATGCAGTGCCCTAAAACCCCATGCTAGGCCGCCCACCAAAGAGACCCTCCTTGACCACTAAAAGTAATGTCCTCTGTCCTGGTTTCTCCTATTCAAACCCAGTTTAGTCATTTCAAAGTGGTACCACTAGTCCATAATCAATGATGTTGATTTATTCCTTTCCTTATCCTCTGTCTTCCACATGGGAACGTACAATCCTCAAAAGTCGGGTCATGGTCTACTGTGTTTCCCAGGGTGTCCTCAGCTCCTGGTACAGTGCTGGGCATATCACAGGCACTCAGTAAATATTTGTTTAATTAAATAGTTAGTTAATCCTGTGTGGGGCTGCATTATTTCTCCACCTCTGCTATTAGAAAACTTTTAAAAATACCAATCTAATGCATTCATCTGAGTCTGTAACTCATGTTCTCCCAGCCACTTAAGTCTGATCTTAGTTGAAAGGAAACAGTTTCCCAAACATCTGTGGCTCTATACAGCCATTACAAGGACTACTTCCTGGATGTATAACCTGTGTGATCACACAGTTCCTCCCCCACCCCCCACTCAGAATGGCCTTATGCATAATTAAATACTCTAGTATCATCATCTTGAAATTCTTAAAAAATTTGGAGCCAGGGGCCTTCTTTTTATTTGGCACTGTGCCCTGCAATTATATAGCTATTCCTGGCCCTTACGAAGGGTCTTTGTAATGGTACATTATTGTCACTCAATAAAAAACATCACACAATACAAGACCCAGATGACCATACTAAAACATTGTCAAACCCATCTAACTGGAGACTTCAAGTGACTAGAATTTCCCCTCTATATGAACAAATTATACTCATGATATTGACCTTGAAGCACTATAAGATATAAATCGCTAGACCATAAGCTGTTTGTAAACAGGAACAATATCTATTGTATTGTCATTATTTCTCAGAGCTGGCATGTCCCTGGCATACTACAGGTGCTGTAAAATTATTTACTGAATGTGGTTTTGAATGAAAGAATGAATGAATACTTAAACTTCACTTTGAATATATTCTCAGAAAGGAAAATGAATGAATATATTAGATTTTCAACAATGAAGGGAAGAGAGGAGGGAAACAAGATTTCTGAAACCCCTCCTATGTACCAGGCATTTTAGACGTATTGTCCTATTTTCTCCTACAACCTTGTGAAGTAGAAAGTATTATCCCCATTTTATACATTTGGAAACTGAGGATCACACAGCTTCTAAGCACTAGAGTCAAAACTGATTCTTTACCCCAAGGTTTTTCCCACTTCCTCCTATTTTACTGTCCCATAACTTTCAAGAAAGTTTGAAAAAATTGACTTGAAATATTTATCTTCAACAAATCCAAAGAATCCAATTGACCAAGATACACTCTGTTCTAAGAAAGTTTTAACTAAAATGAACAACAGGGCTTCCCTGGTGGCGCAGTGGTTGAGAGTCCGCCTGCCGATGCAGGGGATACGGGTTCGTGCCCCGGTCTGGGAGGATCCCACGTGCTGTGGAGCGGCTGGGCCCGTGAGCCATGGCCGTTGAGCCTGCTCGTCCGGAGCCTGTGCTCCACAATGGGAGCGGCCACAACAGTGAGAGGCCCACATACGGCAAAAAAAAAAAAAAAAAATGAACAACAGTGAGCCCCAAATATCAACCCATCACCTGGAACCTATTTGTCATAAAAGAAAACACTGTGTCAAAATTGTATTAGGACTACAATTGCTCCCTTTCTAATAAACTTTCTGGCACTGTGCTCTATTGGATGTTGTGTTGCACACAAAGGTAAATTTTAGATTTGCATAAAGTTTTCAACTTACATTTCTGGAATTGAGTAATAATAACTTAGTTCTGCAGTTAGAAAATGTAGAACCAAGATTTGAGCACAGGAAGTCTGGCTTTAAGCAAATTAAAATTATAAAGTATTTTGATAATATAATTTCCAAGGGGTACTTGTGTAGAGTACACATAGTTTGAATAAAGCAAATGATGTCCAATTTTCATTATTTATAAAATTGTACACTTGGTTTCTATTTCCAATGCAATGGTGATATAGATAAACTTAAAGAAATATGGTAAAAACAACTAACAATGCTGGATGAAATATTGTTGAAAAGAAATTGACTCCCTTAGGACCTGTCCAAATAAAGATAAAACAGAAATTCAGAGAAATAAGGAAACTTTGGAGCCACAATCTCTCCTGAGGGCACCTGTTTACCTCTACTGAAGTCATAGGTTTGCGGACTGAATTTATTACCACATCGGGTTTATGCCAGAAGTGCAAATTTGGTTTTACATTTAAAAATTCTATTGCTACAATTCACCATATTAATGATAAAAGGTGAAAAATTGCGTCTCAAAAGATGCAGAAAGAACATTCAAGAAAATTCAATATCCATCCATTTTTTAAATTCAGAGGGATAGTCCTAATCTACTATTTTTTTCCCCACTTTTCTTGCCTTCATTTTTACTGCTTAAGTTTTTGTTCTATCCCAATTTATTTCCTTTATGGTTTGAAACATTTGCACTCTATTCCTATTATTCTCATAATTAATTAGAAGATTTTAAATGTATAATCAATAGTAAATAACAAAGAGGTTAACCAATAATTTTACTTTTCCACCAAATAACACAAAAACCTTAGAAAACTTTGTAACATATTTTTTAAAAGTTTTAGAAATACAGACTTTATATTTAATAATTAACATTTAAAACATCTTCTTGAAATTCAAGAATATGAGACTGCTTTTTAACAATGTTTTGAAAAATCAAACTAGTGCAGGAAGACCCTCTCAAGGTTCTTCCTCAGCCAGTCAGAGATGTTCCTCAGGTAATCAGTGGAGAGCTATCTCAGCCCTTCCAGGGCTCTTTGATTGCTAGGATTTTTCTGTTAAATCCTGCTGGTCTACCAGTTACACCAAACTTGGATCACAATCTCAGGCTTGCAAAGCTGTGGGTTTTCCCCATTTATTCTAAACTAAATCCACCACTTTATGTTGGAGAAAACAGGGTTTTGTTTCCCTCTTGTCCCAACCCAAATTGAGTCCACCTCCTCTGGCAGCAAAGCTGTTTTCCACTCTCAAGCTGGGGTTGGCGGAGGAGGTTGGAGGTAGCTCCAGGCAAGGAGGTCACAGGTTCCTCTTGTTCTTACCTGAATCTCCAGAAATTTTTCAAGAATAAATGCTTCTCAGAGTGTTGTGTTGCCTTGATTGATTTCCGGTGTGATGGAATAGTTGTTTTTGTTAATGTTTTCCAACTGTATACTTGTTTTCTGTGGAGAGGAAACCCTCGGCCTCTTTACATCACTCTAACAGGAAGTCCTCTCTCTCCACATCGGTTTTTGGGAGAATTAAATGAGTTGATTTATGTAATCTGCTTACAAGTACCTAAAATAGTAGCTACTACATGAGTCAGCTTTTATTATTGTAATTATTATTTACTGTGCTTCTGGGATACAGAACTAAAGAGAAAGTAATACCTACCCTCATGAAAGAATGGGAATTAGGAGCAGGATTGAAGTTTTAAATAAGGTGGCTAGGAAAGGCTTTACTGAGAAAGTTATAATGTAAATAAATACATGGAGGAGGTTAGAAAGACTTATGGGGAGGTCTGGCATAAGAGGTGGGGGAATAAGTTTTCAGAAAGAGGAAATGACTAGCACAATATCTGGGATGTGGAGCTTGTCTGACATGCAAGAAATAACAGGAGGCAAGTGAAACAGGGAAATTGGGCAAGTGGGAATAATGTAGGCAATGTGTTAGATGGGTAAATGATGTCACATCATTGGTTTGGGTCCAAGAGAGATAGGAAAACCTTATGTATGATTTTGAAGAAGAAAAATAAAAATGAAATGAACTGGGGCTTCCCTGGTGGTGCAGTGGTTGAGAGTCTGCCTGCCGATGCAGGGGACATGGGTTCGTGCCCCGGTCCGGGAAGATCCCACATGCCGCAGAGCGGCTGGGCCCGTGAGCCATGGCCGCCGAGCCTGCGCGTC